TCATCCCTGAACTGGACTAAAACAATTAGTTAAAAACCAAAATAAAAAGTTCGAAATGGAAAATTTCATGTAAATTTGATTAATTTTCATTTTACCTTTTCAAAAATTACGACTCATTTCACTGTTTTCCGGAAGTTTCAATATTGATTCTGCTACAATGAACCTTTTTTTTAGTGTTTAGAGCATTGTATAACCAAGTATTTAGCTCAAATTAAGGTAAGCTTCATTGTATTTCAATATATTGAGAAAAAATTGTGGAAAAAGTCATTTTTTTATTCAAAATTTTGTATCATTGTCTCAACATAATGCCAATTAAAATACAATCTTAGCTTATTTTTAAAACCAATACTTAAAAGTATGTTTAAAATTAGATCAAAAACAACAATACATTAACCAAAATTATGAGATTTCTGCAATTTTTTTCAAAAATTTGCAGTTTGTTCCAAATACTTGAAATTTTTGCAATTTTTTCCAAATACTTGAAATTTTTGCAATTTTTTCCAAAAACTTGAAATTTTTTTTAAAATTTCAGTAGGTTTCAGGATAGTTTATGCTAGATTGAGTACAATTTCTAAAAAAAGATCATCTAACAAAATAGTTATTATTATAAAATTATATCAAATCATATCGTGTTTTGAAGTTTTTTGAAAAAATATCAATTTTTTTATAAGCATTTCCAAATTTTTGCACATCTTACCATGGACTTACCATGAACCAATAAACATATTCTCTTCATTGCACATTCTACATGTAACACTCAAGAATTACATAACGCATGCCGAGATTTTTGCGAAAAAACTAGACATTTCCACACAAAATCCAAAAAATACCGTTTTTCTTACTATTTTCTTACCATCACACTGAAATTTTACCATTCCCTATCTTAATACATTGGGAAATCTATTCCCTATGTTAATACAAGGAATTTTTAATCCTTATACATAGGGATATCTATACACTATCTTAATACATGGGAAATCTAAACACTATCTTAAAACATGGTAAGATCGGGCGCCAAAAAATTTTCTGAAACTTACCATCTGAAACCTACCATCTTAATACATGGGAAACCTATTCCCTACCTTAATACATTGTAGACTCTATACCCAATCTTAATACATAGCTGGGAGACCGGATGTTCTGTTCCCTATCTTGATACATGGGGGTCTCCCACCACCCCCCCCCCCCCCACTCTTGCTCACTCATATACTACTCCCCCCTGAACCCACCCCACTCCCCCACCTGAACCCCCCCGTTACGTGGGGGGGGGTGGAGTTTGTTGTGAATGGGCAAACGCTAAGTAGGTAGGGGAAGGGAGACTAGTCCACCTCTAATTTTACCCCCCCCCCACCTCCAATTTTTGAATAACATAAAAAAGTAACCAAAAGATCAAAGCTAGACAGAAAAAAATTAAATCGAACAACAAGTAACCAACGTAACCAACTTAAATTTAAAACTTAGAAAAGACTTTATGTGCGTTGAAATTCGCATCTCAGTAAAGTGGAAAAAAATCGATTATAATTTATTTTCATTGTCATTGTCCACAAAAGAGAAAAAAAACCGATTATAAAGGATGAACGGATTTTGTTGCCTTGGAAAATCGTAATGTTATAATTCATTTTTCATTGATTATAATCGATTTTTTTTTCACTTTTGTGGTTACTGATAATTGATTTTTTTTATGGAACCCACATACCCCCCTCACCTGAACCTACCCCACCATCTGAACGCAACCCCCCCCCCACCTGAAACCACCCCCCACCTGAACCCACCCCACCTGACCACGTTACGTTGGGGGGGGGGGGAGGGGGTTTGTTGTAAATGGGCAAATGCTAGGGGAGGTAATGATGAGTAATATAAAAAAGTACCAAAAATTATTTTTTTATATTACTCAACCTTACTCAACATTACCCCCCCCCCACCTGAACCCAACCCACCATCTGACTTTTTGTGCGTTGAAATTCGCATCTCAGTATAGGGGAAAAAATCAATTATGATTTAGTTTCATTGTCAGTGTCCACAAAAGTGAAAATAAATCAATTATAATGGATGAAAAAACGATTTTGTTGCCTCGAAAAACAGTAATATTATAATCCATTTTTAATTGATTATAATCGATTTGTTTTCACTTTTGTGGAAACTGATAAGGAAACTCAATTATAATCGATTTTTATTCATGGAACTCCAATGCGGGCAGTCACTTCCGCTTCAGTCATTTCCGCCCCAAAAGCAGTCAGTTCCGGACATGACTGCTTTTGGGACGGACATTAGTAGTTTCATTGGTACTGAGTTTGTCTCTAGTGTATTACCACAATCAATAGTAATCAAAAAGGCAATAAATGTTTATTTGAGTTGTTTTACACCAAATCAGGCGTTGAAAAAAATCTTGGCTCATCGAATTCCAAATCACACAAAAGAATTGATGATTCTAACTTAAAAAAAAGCACTAAGCTTTTCCCTTTTTCAAGAAAAACTGTTCAACATCAGAAGTGAAGATCTTTTTAACAAAAAAAGAGAACTTTCTCAAGATAATTCGATGGCGGAGTAAATTGTTTTACAAGCGGTTTTACCGAATAAAACTTTCCTTTTTTAAAATTTCTAGTATCATCTTTCAACATGTATATCTGAGGAAAAATCAATAAGGCTTCACCGTAGTTGTTTTTTTTCTAACGGCTTGGGTAATTTTTTTGTTTTTGCTGTTCCGACAACTTGAAAAATGAGGAGGAACTTTGTATTCGGGGGTGTTACAATTTTTTTGTTTTCTCCGAAAAATCAGGTAACGGGAAAAAACCTCGGACAGAGTGGAGTAAAATATCATATTAAAGCTTTTTCAGCGTGTATCCGAACCACATTGACAAATTTCACAAAAACTTTTTTTCCAATGTCGAGAAAAATCGGTTTGAATTTTTTTTGTTAGCTCTGTTTTTGAGCAGTTAGGTCTAAGTTTATGCTTAATTTAAGCCGTTTAATGCTTAATTTTAGTTATACTTGAGTAAAGTTTGTTTTTAGAGTTTTAAATGCCATTTTGGAAATCAAAACTTCCAAAATTCAGAACAATTTTGGAAAAAATATATAAAAAACACATGTGAAATTTTAATTTGATTTTTCCATAACTTTTTTTGATTTTCGAACTAATTTTCTTCAAAAACTATTGCCCGGTTTGCCTATTTTGCTTTGACAGTCGAAAATGCTTAATTGTTAATTTTTTGTTGAGATCTTTTTATCACACTACTCAGAAGTAACGACAATAATATTTTAAAAAATTATTTTTTTAAATGTGTGTCTTTTAAAAGACTATGGTCGGAACATTCTGTGCAATTTGAGCTGTAACCAGTTTCCATCGTCATTTTGAAATTTTACCTTAAGTTTTATGAACAAAAAAATATTAGTAAAGAAACGTTTCTTTCTTCATACTCAACTGTGTTGCAGTTTGTTTCCCCTTTTACTCTGCATGGCGACCGAGATACGGTATTTCCAGACTTTTTCCACGACTTAAAACCCTGTCCAGACTATGGATTTTTTTCGCGGAATTAATCATCGCGGACCTCGACTCGAGAATTTTCTCGCCTAAACTGAAAAATATACTTTCTCGCTTAAAACTGAAAAATAAGTCGCGGACCTCGACCCGGGTAATTCCTCGCTTAAAAGTAAAATGAGTTATTATTTAGGTACTTTTTGTTTTAAAATAGCCAAGTTTTTTGTAGTCAATGTGTGTTAGAAGGGGGCAACTTTCGAATAATTTAGATGAGCTTGATATTATTTTAGTTTACTAAATAATGGGAAAGATTTCACTTGAAAAAATGTTCCAACCACTCTGATGGTATTTAAGAAGAAAAAAAAATCATTTAAAATGGGTTTTCTAAAGAACGTTTTTTTTGCTTGGTCTTTTTTTCCAGAGTCTGACTCAAAATTTTTTGAAAACAATTGATCATTTATTACAATTACCTAGACGGCGTGTTCAGCCCCTACGTTGCGGATGTCTGTATTTTGAGCATAAAATTTTTTAAACCTAGGTTTTGACCAGTTCTACTGAGCTGAACCTAAAATTTGATTTCCCATGTACACACAAAGCCTTAAAGCCGTAAAACGATACTTTAAAACGTTCCTAAATCCACTAAATTCATTTAACATAAGACTTCCTCCCCCCATACCGAGGAAATCCTGGATATGTCCGAATAACTTGTCATTTGGATCAAATAGCTGCCCCAATAGGGGAGATACCGAAGGGGGGATTGAGTAGATCCGTTATCAATTTCGAATTAAAATACTAAAAGGAGCTTTTTATCAGCAAACTTCTTTAAAATTAATTTAAAACGATGGGAGATCGAGTCAGGTGGCACAAATAATTTTCCTGCTAAGCAATGAATCCTTTGTAATAACACTTTTTTCAATTTCTACAGACCGCAGGAAGCTATTTTGGAATAATAGAAAAATGCTGAAAAATATTTTTTGTTTCGCAGGTTTTTATTTTTAGCCACCCGACTTTTCTTTCCAGAGTTATTAAAAACACATTATTCGAAAGCTCTACGTCTGTAGAATTTATTTCTATTCGTGCTTTTCAAAAACTAAAAACAAGGACGTGATTTTCAACGAGTTTTAGTGTTATTTGTTAAAATAACTATTTTCAACGATAAAAACAAGACACGTGACAAAAGTTGAGAATTCATTCGAAAATTTCAAAAAAAAAATTCAGATCTGATCATGTCTGATGCAGTTCAGGACAGATATGCAATCTCACAACAAATGGATTCACTCTGGGCATATCTGTAATTTTATTTTTTTTCTGTAACATTAAAATTTTTGTATCTTCCAGGTCTGAACATGTCTGATACAATTCAGGACAGATATGCAATCTCACAACAAATGGATTAACCCTGTGCATATCTGTATTTTTATTTTATTTCTGTACGGGGCATTCAATGTTACCAGCGGAGACATAGAAGCTCGGATTTTTTTAATTTGTCAAATGTTTCTTCGCCAATCTGTAAAGCTTGTTTCAGGAAGGCGATGGATATGTGGACTCGGCTGACAAGATGAAGGTGATCGAAGACCGCATTTCTGGCTGCTTGAAACAAAAATAAAAAGAAAGATCAACTAACTGAGGAATCGCAATTCGATGTCAAAATTTGATCAATTACCATATGTAAAATTTAACCAAATTCTCTACTGTGAGCTGAGGAGAATCTAGATTTTGAATTGCAAAATATCTTAATTTTAAGTAACGAGGCCATACTGTGTAAGGATACTAAATGTGTAAGGTCACTGGAATCCACAAACAAGTCGTACATATGCACTAGATTCTAAGTGGAATCCATAAACAAAGTTTCCATGGATTCCGCGCACAAATAACTAGCAACATTATTATTGGCCCATTAGTTATTTTCGCGGATTCCGCAACCAGGAAATATAACAAATTATTCTGGGTTCCGCAAATGTAAGCGCATTTGCTAACTTGTAAGCGATTTCTACAAGTTTGAGCGGGCTCCACAATTTGTTCTACTAGACTGAACTAAACCAGTTCTAGCGTGAACAATTAGGAGTTATAGGTAGAATTGAATATCTAGAAAATGGCGAAGTTACAAACAAGGACGTAACTATTTTCAGTGGGCTCCAAAAACAAATATTAACTTATTGTTCAGCCTAAATCCTTGATGTAGCGCTGAAATACTACTGAACCAAGCATTGAAATTCCAAACATATTTCAAGCTTTTTAATGAAATCATCAACTTTACCATTTTATAAGATCCAGTAGCTTTTTGTAGTTCTATCTTCAGTGTCAAAATGAAAACTTCAATCCTAATTGTTGAGGTATACACTATAATCGGAATTGATGATGGTGTCTTTTATCCTAGTTCATAGTATGGTGAATTTTATTCGATTTGCTGTTATGTTAATTTTAACCCTAATTGCTAATTTGGTGACTTTAAATCTAAATGCTGACATTTAAAATAATGACATAATGGTAGACTTATCATGACTGTCATTAGAGTTGCTGATGGCGATTTTTTAAATTTGCTGATATGTCACATGTATTCAATTTAGTGATAAATTGGAAATTTACTGTAACTTGCACCAAGTTGTTCTTGTGAGATTTCCAAAGAGCAAGCGACAAAAAGCGCCAAATACAAAAAATTAGAAAATTAAAGATAGATAAAAAACTTCGAATTGAAATAATATTGCGAAATTTTTGATCATCGCTTGATTTTAGCCGATTGATGGATTGCACATTTTGAGAGAGTTCATTAATCATCCGATGTAAATTGAGTTAATAAATTGGTCGTAATTTTTTGCTTTACGCTTAAGTTCAGACTATCTCGCTTCGGTTCTCTTTGCAAAACGTTGCGATCAAAAGTATTTTTTCCAGACTGTCGCGTCTGAAAAATATGTTTTTAGTTTTTGTAGAGAGACAAAAATGGTTGCGTCCAATGGGATCCAAGAAAAGACATGATTAACAAAAAAATTGCAGTTGGTTCCTCAAAAAAAGTTTGTACAAAAACAATACAAAAAAAATCCTTTTCTTTTTTTCTAAACGTAAACCAATCAAACCATCATTCAGAATTATAAAATTAGTTTTTTAATTAATGACAATAGATTCATTGTGTTCTTTCCAATTCTCTTTGAGACAAAAATTCTACTGTGGTACCCATTCTTCTTAACCAGTCACATTGGCTAATTATATCACTTTCTGAGTTTACTTGAAATCATATAGCACACTCAATCAATCTGATCGCAGATGTGCAATTTTTAGCAATTTGTTGCGATTTCATGTTTTCAAGTAATTTGAGGTTTTTGCAACCAGTTTAGAGAGTTTTGCAAAAAGTTTCAAGCTATCGTAAAAAATTTTGAACTCTTTACCATCAGTTTAATCAAAATTTTTAATCAAAATTGTTTGATACTGAACAAGCTAACAATTGTGAACAGCTTGGTTCTTCATATCTTACATCGTGACATCGCGCATTTAGCCATAAAAACTGGAAAAACATTTTTGAAAATGGAAGTTTTGGTGCAAGAAGTGTGTAAAAAATTCCAAATTGCTGTAACAGGCCAAACTATAATGGGGTGATTGCAGACTGATGTGGCTTAAAAGCCTGGATACTAGTACTGGATAGTGACTCTGGTATTTGCCCCATCATATTGGTGGTTTTGGAAAAAGGTTCATGAAGGCCTGACAAGTAGCAATTAGAAATATCATAGGTTGTAAGCGGCACAAACAAAAAATTTTTTTTAGTATTGTGAAAAAACTTCATGTGTTAAGGCAAGGCCATGTTTTGCTCAAAACCAAGCTCTTTTCCATTTTTATACCGCATTTCAAAAATTTGATTTTCCTTGTGGTCTTATGTGGCATTTTTGATCTTTGCGTCTTGTTTAGGAAACTTATGAAGGTAAATCTATTCACAAAAGTTTTTGTTTCTCCCTACAAAATTGAATTGTATTATGACAACCTTGAAGCAGTTTTTCAAAACTGAACTTCGAACGTGAGAGAAGTGGGATAGAATAGAGCCCAAAACCCCAAAACTGATCTTAAATGCAAATGAGAGCCCTAGTTAAACCCAAGTGCTCAGCTGATTTTTTTTAGAATATGTTGTACAGGTGCGTAAAAAAATGCGTAATTGTCAAAAATTCAAAATTTGGACTTTGCCCAAATTGTTAGTGGTTTATCTAGAAACAAACAGATAAGTAGCTTGTGTAGGGACAACGTTCACAACCCTTTCTTTCAAATCAATTGAAAATCAATCCTAGTAGAATAAGAAAACTGGAAAACTCCTTGAACGTTCAAAGTTTCCAAAATTAGAATTTTTACAAGGCCATTCCGGCTTTTCTACAAACACAGGATCTAACATAACTTTTTTTCTATACCAATTAATTTCCGCTTAGGTTTCGCTTTTTCCAGTTTTGTGGCGCGATATTATCCTATAAACGTTTTAGTTTTTCAAGAATTGGCAAAAATTTAGAAGTACCAATTGTATCTGTTCAAAGCATCCGTTGCTGCATGTCTTACAACAGCTGTGGTATTTAATCCAGCGGTCTCATTATACTGCTGTTTCATAATAGTGCAGAAAAAAATCGACGTTTTTCCGCGCGTCATGAGTTTGTGCAAAATTTCAACTTTTACCATTTTAGCTAATAACAATTGAAAATATGCAATGTAATGCAATTAGTATCTATTCGTATGGATCACATCTAATTCATTGTTTCAATGACAAATCTAAACCTGTTATTTGAATCTATTACAACAGTTATCTTTTTTTCGTGTGAAGTGGGGTTAGATTTTCAATATATAGTGGGTGCATGGTACAAATGATCGGGTCCTTTTGCTTCTTTGTGACCTTTGCACGCACAGTACCTGTGAGCCACGTGATTAATCGCCCCCTTCGAGGCACCCCGCCACACCCGAGTGGGCTCCCAGCTATAATCTTCTCGCTTTTTCGACTTATTCGGGTTTTCTGGCATTTTGCACATACTACACACTTTCCCATTGACCAATCGCATTGAAGAATCGGGATTTGTAATGAAGTTCTGAAGACGTTTTTTAGAGTTTGTCGGTACTCGTTTTTTCGGACTTTTCTGACCTTCGTTTAAAGTCACAGCCGGTTTTTGGATTTCATAGTTCGTTTTGATATAATCATCTTCATTTTGACTTTCACGAACTTGAGGCGTGTTTTTCTGAGACCCAATTTCGTTCATTTCTCCAAAATGATTTAGATTTTGTTCACGGATGTCTTGCAAAATTTTTGAGCTTTTTGTTGCGTAATCGATCAGAACAGGAAGTATGCAAACTGCGCCTCCAAATTGTTCACGTGCCTGAACGCAACTTAGATGGTTTATTTCACGGTGCGGATATTTGGCTCTGACTTCGCTGAAATCGAAATTGATATCGCTCATCATTTCCCATTCGGTCATCAGGTTAACCAGTTCTTGGAAACTCGAATTTGGCGCCCGAAAGTCAACAGCAGAAACTTCTCGTTCGATGATCGATCGAAGACGGCAGACTTCTTGATGAGTGTCAAGAAACATTTTCAGAGTTCGCTTTTCAACCGCATGGTTACAAGCATCGTGATAAATTTTGACTTGAGTAATGGTCCTGACAACTGGATCGTACAGAATGTTGAAAGCGCGAGCGTTTTTGGAATTAGAGAGGGCTTGCAGAAACGTTTGAATATGTTGCACAAAAGCTGAATACTTTTCTTGGACTGATTTCATTCCGATTTCAGGATGTTCCGATCTAGGAGATGAGAACATTTCGAATTCAATCTCAGTATAAGTTTGAATAGCTAAGCGAAGAATCCAATAATTGTTAAAACTACTCTTTAAAAATCTCTTTAAACTAATTTGCGTCTGAAAAGAATGCGAAGTTTGTTGTTTGAGATTCAATCAAAGACAGTTTGACGTTTTACGTTTAATTTGGTATCATTAATTTTAGCTTTATACAAATTTGAACGCTTAACGGTATTTTTTATGAAGGTATTCTTAGCAAAAATTAGAAGCACGTGCAGTTTCCTTTAAACGTGTTTTAAAGAATCGTTCCTCCAGACAACGGAGCTTCCAACAATTCCCTGTGGAAAAATATTGACCGTTGCTGGTATATTGTAGTAGATACAGTCACAAAGGTGTGATGAAAACAACAGACAGAAAAGAACCAAAAAACTAAATAGCTAGAAAACCACGAACGAAGAAAACATTGGCAGACAATTTATATTGGAGCTTTAACGAAACTTCAGCCCTTGTAGGATGGATGTTAACCTGTAATAAACCTAGTAATAAGCTTATTGCTAGGTTTTTTACACGAGATGATAGGCAAAACTAAAAAGTCTTGTTAAAATTAATTCCTATCATCAATTTCTGCGAGTCACCCTTCAATGTCGTTTCAAAATTTGCAGGCGGGGCTGACCTATTTTGGCAACAGTGTGTCTTTACCGAGGTTTGTCTGAGCTCCGATTTTTTTAAATCTTTGATTTCGCTCAAGAAATTACTTGATCAAAAACAAAAGAGTTTTAGTTTCCTGGACTCCATTTTTTTGATAGGCTGGGTGGATGGCGCTATCAATGTAAATTCAGATAATTTGTCAAGCAATAAAATTAAAAAACAGCACCATGAATTCTCCGCAAAACGACTCGTCGGCTTCGTTTCACATCTAAGAAACAGTAATCAAATATTTGAAACAGTTTACCTGTCCTTAAATGCGGTTTGTTCTTGTGAGCTTGAGTTCGATATCGCCCAACGTTCTCTTTGTCTTCTTGCGAGAAAAACATCGACAACTAAAAAAAATGCAGAAGCTAATTGATTTTTTTGCC